TAGACAGATATCGACAAATTTAAAAATCTATACTTTCTGTGTTGTTTCCCTGACTGAAGAGCATTATTAGCCCAGCTCTGATTTGCATAGATTTGAATAGAAGAGATCCATGGGTAGAACAGGCAGACACAGACAAGAGGTGGCCTCATATGCACCTTCCTCAGAATTTGACCTGGGGTGGGCTCTGCCCTGCTGTACAGCTGTCTCCTCCTCCTCCTCCTCCTCCTCCTCCTCCTCCTCCTCCTCCTCCTCCTCCTCCTCCTCCTCCTCCTCTTTCGACCCAGTGTGGATCAGAGCCTTCATTGTTTTCCTTGGGCATATTTTTCTCCTCAGGCTAAACATGTAGACATTTCAGTAGCCCAAGAGTGCAAAAATGTTTTGGTTCTAATGTTTGCCTGGATTATTTCTGAAAGCATTTTGCTGGAGAGAAGAAACCAGATTGTGAAATCGGCTTCTTGCCAGTTATAACCAAGCTTGTCTTAGATCTTGAACCAGTGCCCTCTTTACTGACGACTGTGAGGTGTTTGTGTAGCAGAGTGGGCTGTGTAAGAAAAAGTTGTGTTGTCTGAAACCTACCCTCATTTTACTTCTAGTTAGCAGTGTGAACTTAAGTAAGTCAGTCCTCTTTTCTTTCTCAGAGTCTGTAAGAGTGTGGTCCCTGAAAGAGACCCCGACTTTCTAAGTTTTGAATGTAAGGAGGTGGATAGAGTTAATTCTGTTCCTTCATTCCCATGAGGGAAAGTAAAACAAGAATGGACAAAGGGTGAACTTTTGTTTGTTTGTTTGTTTTTGAGACATGGTTTCTCTGTGTATCCCTGACTGTCCTGGAACTCATTCTGTAGATGAGGCTAGGCTCAAACTCACAGAGATTTGCCTGCCTCTGCCTCTTGAGTGCTGGGATTAAAGGCATGTGTCACCACTTGCCCAGCTCAAACGGTGAATTCTGAGCTCTAAGTGTTTGACACTCAGGGCTGTCCATTTTGAGGTGAGGAGAATGCCTTTTATATCTGCTATGCCCACCCAACCTCACACCCCATTGCACTTGAGCCGTGCCTTGGCAGGAGTGTGACTTGGGGAAAGGTGACTCTTCCTTAAGAAGAGCAACTCTCAGAGAGGGGGAATTAAGTTACAAATATAGAGAACTCGGTTCTGAAAGTAGATAGAAATAAACAGTACCCAATACTGTTCCTTAGATTCATCCTCAGTGATAAAATGGAGCCAAGATGCATAAACCTCAGCAGCATATTATATAAAAAAAATCCACTTGGTGACAAATGTTCATCTATAATGTTCAGCTGATCTGAGTTGGTCAGGTTTATGTAATACCTGTACTCACATAGCAGTTGGGTGAGTCTGCTGACCTCATCTGGGATGCTCTTATCCTCAAGGTGAAGGAAGTGATTGTAGGATAAGCTGGGATGACCTTAGCTGAAATGGTACTAGGCTGAGTTGCTTGATTTACACTTAGTAGGCTAGTGTGAACATGTCCTCATGTCCATGGTAGAGGCAAGAACCATCAAATACAAGCTTGCTTCATGTCAGCTGTATTAACAATCTACTGGTACACATGAGCTCATAATCACAGGCAAGGATAGTTCAACTGACTCACCGTAAGGGATGGAGGGGTTGCAGTTTGGGCAAGGATACAGACAGTATAGAGAGGGTAAAGAATTGGGACCATTGAAAAAAAATCTATTACATTCTCCACCTTTCTTTTCCTGTAGCCACTTCAACTTTATCTGTTAGGTATTAATGATCTGGTTTTGGTTCTGCTTAGAGCTTAGACTCTCAAACTCTACCCAAGCTACTGGTTTCTGAACCTAGCACAAGCACAGGAACAACTCAGAACTAGTGGTAAACATTTTATTGGATAAATAAAATCCAAAATGAGCATATGTACAAGGTCAAGCCAGTGACATGGCTCATCATGCAAAGACACTTGCCACTCAAAGACTTTAATCCCCACAGCCCATGGAAAGGTAGAAATAGAGAGAAAATAGCACAAACTTGTCCTCTGACTTCCAAATATGCACCACAGTGTAAATACCCACTCATGCACATCATGGAACACACACACACAATGCTATTACTGTTACTATTACTACTACTATTGATGATGATAATGATGATGATGATTATGATAAACTTTTAAAGAGTTCAAGCCCATTTTCAGCTATCGAATAAACTCAAAACAAACCTAGGCTACTTGAGACCCTTTTATTTATAAAAATAAATAAGACAAAATAACAACAAAACCCCTCAAAATTATAATTGCTAGGTGAAGAGTAAAACCTGTTTGTAAAGATTTGGAATATTAACTGCAAAGAACATTTTTATTTTTCATAGTTTTACTAACATATTAATTATGCATAGTAACATGTGTTCCAATCACTAGTGCTCTTTACAGATAAATGGGTGCAAGTTTGTTTGTAGAAGCATGAGAACGTTATAAATATCTACATTGAAGAAAATGGTTTCTCTCTTGTCCCTCACCATTAACCACAATAAATCTTGATAGAGTATCAGAACCCATAATTCTCTCCCCATTAGGTGACTAGGTGTTCATGGGCACAATCTTGGGTAGGCAAACATCCTAGCATTTTCTTTTCTCTTAATAGTTTTTAACCAAGACTAGCATCATACTGCATATTTAATTCTGCAACTTACTTTCTATGCTGAGGAAAATATACTCAAAACAAACAAAACTACTACATCAACATAACACATTTTAATTAGTATATATTTTGTCAACAACAACAACAAATTGTATAATTGAAAAATAGATATGTGGTCTATGCAATATATCCTATCATTCCCCTTTTCACTTTTTCAGACAGTTCTTGGTCCTCATACAGCTCCTTAGGCCCTAGGGTATATGGATCACCTCCATGAAGCACTGTTACTACTTTGGAAAAGAAAATAGATTCTTTTCTACTTGTACTTTCTGTTGGAGACATCAAGCTACTCATTTATATTTTTCAAGTAGCCTAATAACATGAATCAAAGTAGCAGTTTAACTGTAATTGTCCTCTTACTAGGAAGGTAAGGGATATTATGTTCAGCTTTAACCTCATATTTGCATGATAGTCTCTAGTGCAGCATAGTACTTTGGTACTACTCCTTGTGTGAACACGTTGATATCTGAGACTCTTTGTGCTAATATTTATGTTGTCACATATTCACTAATTTCATTTATTTCTGATTTATCCTTAATATGGGGGATTATTTTGAAGACCATTCAGGCAGAGGGAAACACTGGTCTGTTTTGAAGAGGAAGTAAATGTAGAAACTTTTTAATTTACTATGGGATTGAATACTGATAAACCCATGGTGACCTGGAATATTATAATAGAAGCACACATCTAGGTAGGGCATACAACATGTCACAACAGATTGAGACTCTTGTATGAAGACCTGAATTCATTTCCTTGACTTCACAGGTAGCAGGAGAGAACTGACTTGTGAGAACCAACTCCCGAGAGTCACCCTTCATATCCAGCCTATGTCATGCACACATGACACCTGTATACACACACACACACACACACACACACACACACACACACACACATTAAAATAAGAAATTCATTTAACATACTGTTTTTCTAAGCTTTGATGCACAGTAGAGTAACACATTATGCTACAGATATAGCTGTTATCCATGATCAAATGGATTCTGGAACCTTGACATCATGAAAGAATATTAGGAAAAGACAAAAATTCAAAGCAATGCTTCTTAATGGGTATCACTTTCACTCTATCGTAGAAAAAAAACTTTAAATTAAACCACAAGTTAGTGACAGTCTGTAAATCTGTCCTGTCCTTAGTAATGTTTAAATACTTTCTAGATATGTAACTTGCATGTTAAGCCACAAATACCCTCGGTTTTGTCTTCTGACTGGTTTTATATCATCTTGACATAGCTACAGCCATTTTGGAAGAGTGAACCTCAATTGAGAAAATGCCCCCTCCAGATTGCCTCTGAGAAACAGTTTCTCGGTTGATGATTGATGTGTGTGGCACTACTGTGCTCCTTGTAGTGCCACCCCTGGCCTGGTGGTCCTGGGCGCTATAAGAAAGCTGGAAGAGCAAATCAGGAAGAGCAAGCCAGTAAGCAGCATTCTTCCATGGCTTCAGTATCAGTTCCCGTCTCCAGATACCTGCCCTGTTTGAATCCCCTTTGAATTTCTTCCCTGACTGCTCTCAGGGAAGCTGTGGAGCTGTAAGCTGAAATTGACCCTTTCCTCCCCAAGATGCTTTTGGCCACAGTGTTTTATCACAGCAATAGAAACCCTAACTAAGTAAGACTGATTTTCATGTTTCCCATTTACTCAGAAACTATTCTGAATTATAATGGTTTCTTTGACCAAAAACTTGCATAATGCTTAGTCTTCCAAATACTCTTAAATTATGCTTGAGATCGTGTTCCTTTGTGAAATTTGTATATTGAAGAGTTTAACTTTTTCTGGAGTCAAAAGGAACCTGGGACCAGTTTGGGGCATGAACTATTTTTTTCTAAGGTTCATGTTTACTGAACTCCAAAGTTAATTATATGCTAAAAGAGGAACAGACACAGGCTTCAGACTCAGAATTGTCTATAGTGGAAGTGAACCTTAGCAAACATGTCTGGTCTAGTTTTATGGCAATTTAGGTAGAGACTCACACTCTGGCAGGATGGACAGTTTTCTAGGAATGTCAGGCGGCCTTAAAGCTAACACTTCTGATTCACATGAACAGGGTGGGCCAAGATGAGTTTGCTGTCTTAGGAGAAGTCATTTTCAATACTATTTTATGTATTTCTTTGGTTGCTTTATGTCCATCAATTCGCCATAAAACTGTTGTAATTTAATTTAATTTACTATAGTACTGTTCACACATATTGAGAGTTAAGTATATATATCTGACTTGAGCTGGATAAAAGTTCAGTGTCTCCACCCAGTGTCCTCTCAGTGTTTTCTGTTTTGCCATACTCAATGTTATTCACATTTATTTGCCTTAAGATAATGAGAAACCTATGCGTGTGGTGGATGATGAGGACCTGGTAGACCAACATCTCATTGGAGAGCTAAGGAAAGAGTACGGAATGACCTACAATGACTTCTTCATGGTTCTGACAGATGTGGATCTAAGAGTCAAGGTACAGGTTCTTGCTGTGGGTGATGTGGTACAATTCTTTGGAATACAAACTATGATTTCCATGGTCGATGAGTTCACTAGATATATAACTCAGCACACCATATGCCTTCGTAGTAAGGTTTTGAAATGGCCCTAGTATTTCAGTTGTCTTATGAATTTGCATTCAAAAATGATGTCTTCAGGAAAAGACTAGGTTGAGCTGAACTTAGACAACTAAGACAGCTACGTGACTCAAACTGAATCCTTCCATCACACCAATGCTGGAAAATGATCAGACATGAGATAAATGAATGTGGTGATCCAAGTCCTGGGAATAAAAGAGAAGGAGGAATTCTTTCCTTCAAGAAACCTGCACTTACCTTAGGTACCATTATGGAAAGCGATGATTTATGATTTTTTTTAAAAAGACTGCAAGGATTTTTCATCTCCTTTCTTTCTGTAGGGACAAAGTTTCTAACCCATCAGAAACTGAGTTATGCAGTCATAATAATAGCAAAATATTTTTGTTGGCACTTTCCTTGCACCAAGCACCTTGCTCAAACCTAAGCAATCCTTGTCTTAAAGATATAAAATAAATATCAGTATCTTTCTCGCTTCACATAGGGAAAAATAACATAGTCCCAGAATGGGTAAGTGGCTTGTCCAAGTTGATCCAGCTAGGATTAGATTTCATTCCCACAAAGGCTAGCTACAGATTTCATTGTCTTCCTCATTCTTGGATACTGACATTATAACAAGTTCTTTGCGGAGGGGTGCTGTCTGCACCATCATAACAGATGACTTGACCTGTAGTGTTTTTGTGGTTTGGGGAAGAGATCACTCCATTAATGTGTTCTGCACAAGTGTTGCATCATTTCCTACAGGAGAAGTTGGACTAGATCTCTAAAATAAAACCCCATTGGGACAAAGTTGCAAGCCACACTCAGATAGTCCCTCATATTGGTTCTGCTTGTCAGGGCCCATATCCATATCAGGTGACTTTTAAAAGTATAGGTAGCTGGGATCCAAGTAAATGAATTTCATTGTCTTTAAGTTGCATCCAAACCTGTTTCTGAGAACATGTGAGTAAACATGTTCAATAAATGACTCAATAAAACAGGACTGAATGGGAAAGTCAAGTTAAAACTCTAGCATGCTATGTCATTTGCTTCTCAATGTTAGTATACTTCTCACATCTCTGGTTGTGTCATAAACAAGATACATGCTGGGTATATGGGAGTGAATGTAGGGTTTGTATGGTAAGGAAGATTTTAGTAAAAGAAGGCAAGAACAGTTTTTTATAAACATATCAATTGCTTCCTGGAGACCTAATTTCAAGCATTTGGAAGAGAGTATTCTTGCAAAAGAGCCTTTAGAAACCATAAAACCCTCTAGGTTCCAAATAAAAAGATTTCCCCAGACCTTGGTAGAAGGTATAAATTATATGTACCCTATGCTTTCTTAAACAGCAATACTATGAAGTGCCAATAGCAATGAAGTCTGTGTTTGATCTCATCGATACCTTCCAATCCCGAATCAAAGACATGGAGAAGCAGAAGAAGGAGGGCATTACCTGCAAGGAGGACAAGAAACAGTCCCTGGAGAATTTCCTATCCAGGTACATAACTTTGCATCCCCAGGAGAGGATAGTACAATTTTGCCTGGAATGGGCTCAGATCCAAAGAAAAATATTTCACATGTGCTTATAGGAGGGTGCTCATCTGTTTCTGGGCGCCCTGTCTGCTGGGCTTAGTTGTGTATGTCTGGAAATAGTTCTGGTTGCAAGGTTTCAACTCTGAAGGTTGATTTGGTGATATAGGATGGGTCTCTTCAGTTCCTTTTATTGGTACAGAGAATAGAATTCAGAACTTCCACAAGTATTGCTTCATGCAGTGAGTCTAAGAAGCTGTGACCATGACATTGTGTTTTACATGAGTCTACTTCCATTTCCAAATGGGATTTGATACACTGTTTAATTTCCCACTTCCTTACAACAAAACAGTAAATCCTCACAAAGACCCTAAAAGCAGGAATCCTCTTGACTTAGCTCCAGCATTCTCTGGGGGAATATTGTATGTTTAAGGCCTTTGACTCAAGGGGGCAGGGAATCCCCCAGAGAAGAGAGTAAGGAAAATAAAATGGCAGTTTCTTCTTTGCTTTATGCCTTTCCCAATGTTGGGTGAAAATTTCACAGGCACTTTGAGGCCCTAAGTGAGACAAATTTAAAAATACACTCACAACAATGAAAATCACAGAGACCTCAATATAAACGCCACTCCAACTGTACCTCATGACTCAGGGTCTCCAGAAATGAAGCAAACATTTGCTGGAGGCTCAGTGTTAAATGTGTGTCACATGGGCTAAATCTTTGCACAATACCTCATGTTAGTCAGGGTAGTCAATGATTAGTAAGTGAATAGCTTGAATTCCTGCAGACTCCAGAGACTCAGGGCTCTTAGGGCACAGATTTCATCTAAAATGGCCCGATTCATGATTCATATGAGGTTTCAGTCTGCAACACATCCATTGTGTTGACAATAATGGCAGCAGGGGTCCTTCCTCCATCTGAGTTGCTGTATACTCATCCATGTTGGTACCAAGAACTTCACCTGTTGTCCATAGGTTCATGTGTTTGAATATTTTCAAATTTGCCTCCCCCAAAATTGTCTTCACTTAGATTTCAACTTGTGCTGTACTTCCTAATTATTGTTACTCATGTGTAATTGCAAGTTTGTCATCTGTCAAACTTCTCTTAAAGTTCAGAAGAACATGTACGTATGTATGTATGTATGAGGGCAAATCTGGGGGAGTTGGAGGGTAGAGAATTTGATCAAAATATACTATATGAAATACTCATAGAATTAATAAGATATCATCTTAAATGTTTAAACAGAATAATGTATTTCTCAAAGACAGGAATGATATGACCCTGTGTTGGAATTCTGCCTTTTTTCTCACTCATTGTTCGTGACATTTTGGGCTGATATTTTTAACTGCCTCAGACTTAAGTTTTCTAATTTACAAAATGATAATAATAAGTGTTCTTGTTCTTAAAATCAAAGTGAAAGGGTAACTGAATACTAGAGATAACGAGGGTCCAGGATCTAGCACAAAGCAAATGACCAATAAATGTATTTCCAGCATGTTGGTCAAGCCCTATACCATTGTTTGTCAGCAAAAGAAACTCAGTAGAATTGAATTCAGAATTGAAACTCAGGCAAAGAGAAATAGGAAAAACCCTGAAACTGGAAAAAAAGAAAAGGGAAGGAAAAGAAAGAAAGAAAAGTTCTGTGACTAAGCCAGTCCCTAAATGGGAATTTTCCTTAAATTTGCTGACTTGTTGATGAGACAGCACAGCCTGGTTTCAACTGACCAGACCCTGAAGCCAGTCTGGTCTTTAACACTGCATTTTATTTTATAATTACCCGTCCCTGAGACAGAAGCCCCAAAGAGTGGGCAAATACACACTAATTTGGTATGCCAGCTAAAAAGAAGCAAACACATGCAGACCTTGCAGGGTTTCATTGACTGAGAAGTTGAAGTGACAGAAAAAACAATTTGCCCCAAATGGAGACCTAAGCAAGGTCACAAGTCTTGTCACAGACAGACCTTGGGCATTATTTCTTTAGTGCCTTGAGCTGGGCACTAAAGGCACAGCTTTGGATCCCTGTGTGGGACATCCAATCGTTCCTTATGGGAAGCACTGTGCTCGGGTCATGTCTGAGACTGGGCGTCTCATCCCTCTCCCATCAAAACCTCATTCAGTGGTACATACAGGTAAACAAATTGAGACAGACATCACTAAAACAGCTCAATGGCTCCATGTAGGCCAGAGAGGCTAGCCTGGTTAGATCCTGGCTGGAGGCCAGCTCTGGCCTGGCACTCCTCCTAAGGAAGCAGGGAAATCCAGAGACCAGCCGTGCTTGTGACCCAGCAGCTGCCACTGTTCCCTTTCCCAGGAACCTCTGGACCGTCTCATGTGTTCCTTTCCCTCGATCTGTGCCAAAACACTCATCTCCTTATCCTCAGTGGAGACTTGTTTTTCTTTCCCTTTGAAGAAAAACAAGCAGAGGAAGTGAATGTAATGTCATAGCGCAAGCAATTCTTGGCAAGTCTTAGGAGACAGGCATCCATTCAGAGCTTGTGTTTCATTAGTCTATTATTTTCCCTCATTCACCAAAACCACTATTGCTTCCAAGGGGCCATTTTCTTTGGGGTTGAAAACACTCGTGTTCAGTTTGAAGCTAGATAGGGCATAGGGAGAGAACCACGCGCTCCGGGATTGTTAATACCTGCTGGCTGCCTACACCTGAGGCAGAAAGCAACTCCCCCTTTCCAGGTTGAGACAACTCTATTCAGCTTCGCCTTGGAAGCATACTGTATGTATTTCACACCACACTGGGGATCCAGAGAGCATGTCTAAAGCATCAGCATCCTTAAGCCCATATTTTGGTACCACCTTAGATTTACTAGTTGTGCAAACCACTCACTTCTTTGTGTCTCTCTCATCATGCATCATCTGGGGGAAATAAAGCTTACTTTCTTGAGCCTTAGTGAGGAACACAGCCTATGTAGTGGAAGTGAGCTTTAAAGTAGCACACTGGCGCAGGAATCAAATAGGTTGTCATGTGGCATGGTGATGGGTGACGTCCAAGGTGTGTTAGTGGCAGGATTTTAAAGTGGGAACCTGCACATTAAGACACAATTTCCCAGATCGATGCCATCATATGGGTTTGGAATTTAATTTAATTTAATACTGATGGGTTTTGGAATTTAAATTTGTAACACCCTTTTGAAGTAGACACTGATATTTTCAATTCTGGAATAAGGGAAAGTGAGACTTAGTGACATGCTTGAAGACACCCAAAAAGCAGTGATGGCAAACTTGAATTCAAGTTTCCACATACAAGATAAAGGTACCATGACAGTCATACTAACAGTAGAAGCCAGGTTTGCCAAAATACCATGATTTTCCTCTTCATAGAGGCAGTTGTATTGACTTTCACTAACGATAATAGGATAAGAATCAGAACTTACATTTGCCTCTAGAATAACAACTGGCTACTAAGGAAAGAACACAGGTTTTTATTCTTCTGAAACTCTCTTTAACTCTTTTAGTGATTTTCTATTTTCTTTCTTGCTGCCAAAAATTTAATGGTCTTTTTCTAGCCTTTTGTGTATGTGTGTATTCTCATCTCCCAATGCATGCTGAACTCCACAGGGAGCTCTGCTGTGACCTCAGTTCTCTTCAGCACTCTTCTTAGTCTTGGTTTTTCTGCCTCCTTTAAAATTTGGTTAGTCTTCATTATAACTGAGAGCTTCACTTCACCTTAAGTGACCTCATCAGACATGGTGACCATGACCCAACACATCATGCAGGCATACTGAAGTCACAACAGAGAAAGTTATCAGTATGTGGCAATGCAGTCTAACGGCTTTCAGGAACTGTGGGAGAGTTCTATGGACTAGGGATTTTTATTTTGGGAATGGAAAAACCCAACCACCAATGTTTCAATGCTTTCTCACACTGGCCTCTGTTGTTTGAAGCAGTCACAGCAGCCTCATGTGTCTTTTCCAGGTTCCGATGGAGGAGGCGGTTGCTGGTGATCTCTGCCCCTAATGATGAAGACTGGGCCTATTCACAACAGCTCTCTGCCCTCAGTGGTCAAGCATGCAATTTTGGTGAGTAAGAGGCACATCATTTTTGCTTTCCCATACCACTTTCTGGATGATTCTAAAATGAAACACACAGCCTTAGCTCATCCAAATATACCCCAATCCAGATGTAGATTCTCAGATACACATTCTATTTATTGAATGGGAAGTTGTTTTCAAAGCACTGTTTTGGTCAACTATAGGTCCTTCTTCCTTTCACATTTTACACTGAAGCATTTACAAGTACCTACTTTTAATTAATTACTTTTATCAATTACTTTTTTCATTTCTGATTTAAATTAGAAACAAGCTTGCTTCACATGTCAGTCCCAGCTCCCTCTCCCTCCCCTCCTCCCCCACCTCCCACCAGGCCCCCAGGCCCCCACCCAATCCCCACTCCATTCCCCAGGGAGGGTGAGGCCCTCCATGGGGGATCTCCAGAGTCTGTCATTTCATTCAGGACAGGGCCTAGGACCTCCCCCAAGAGTTCAGGGTGAAAGAGCATCCCTCATTATGAGATGGACATCCAAAGTCCATTTGCATGCCAGGGATAAATACTGATCTACTATCCAAGGCCCCATAGATTGCCTAGGCCTCCTCACTGACACCCACATTCAGGGGGTCTGGATCAGTACCATGCTGGCCTCCTAGCCATCAATCTGGGGTCCAAGAGCTCCCTCTTGTTCAGTTCAGCAGTTAAACCAGCCCAGTCTTGACTCCTTTGCTCATCAGTCCTCCCTCTGTGTCACTGGATTCCAGGAGTTCAGTTCAGTGTTAAGTTGTGAGTATCTGCCTCTGCTTCCATCAGTCACTGGATGAAGGTTCTGTTTCCCAGATTCTCTGGCAGTGGGATTATAGGCTGGCACTCCCATGATACAAGTCTAAAATCCATAAATGAGTGAGTACATACCATGTTTGTCTTTTTGTGACTAGGTTATTTCACTCAGGATGGTTTTTTCTAGTGCCATCCATTTGCCTGCAAATTTCAAGATTCCATTGTTTTTTTTTCCTGCTGAATAGTACTCCATTAAGTAAATTCTACCACATTTTCTCTATCCACCTTTAAATTGAGGGGCATCTAGGTTGCTTCCAGGTTCTGGTTATCACAAATAATGCTGTTATGAATATAGTGGAACAGACATCCTTGTTATATGAATGTGCATCCCTCTCCCTCCCCCTCCTCCCCCACACCTCCCACCAGGCCCCCAGCCACCCCCAATCCTCACTCCATTCCTCATATGCCCATATACCGATTGGATATATGCCTAAGAGTGGAATTGCTGGGCCTTGTTATAGACTGATTCCCATTTTCCTGAGGAATCGCCATACTGATTTCCAAAGTGGCTGTACAAGTTAGCACTCCCACCAGCAATGGACCAGTGTTCCCCTTTCTCCACATCCTTTCCAGCATAAACTGTCATTGGTGTTTTTGATTTTAGCTATTCTGACTGGAGTAAGATGGTATCTCAGAGTTGTTTTGATTTGCATTTCCCTGATAACTAGGGATGTTGAGCACTTTCTTAAGTGTCTCTCAGTCATTTTAGACTCTTCTATTGAGTAATCTCTATTTAGTTCTGTACCCCACTTTTTAATTGGATCCCTTGGTATTTTGGAGACTTGCTTGTTGAGTTCTTTGTAAATTTTGGAGATCAGTCCTCTGTCAGATGTGGGGTTAGTGAATATTTTTTCCCATTCTGTGGGCTACCTTTTTGTCTTGCTGACTGTGTCCTTTGCCTTACAGAAGCTTCTCAGTTTCAGGAGGTCCCATGTATTAATTGTTGATCTCCCTGTCTGTGCTACTGGTGTTATGTTCAGGAAGCTGTCTCCTGTACCAATTCGTTCAAGGGTACCACCCACTTTCTCTTCTAAGAGGTTCAGTGTGGTTGGATTTATGTTGAGGTCTTTGATCGATTTTTTTTTCTTTAAAGATTCAAAGTTCTTGTGATACATGTCTTTCACTTGTCTAGTTATCGCTACCTCCAAGGTATTTTATGTTATCTTTGGCAATTGTAAAGGGTGATGTTTCTTTGATTTCTTTCTCAGCCCTTTTGTTGTCTGTATATAGTAGGGCTACTGATTTTCTTGAGTTGACCTTGTATCCTGCCACTTTGCTGAAGGTATCAGTTGTAAAAGTTCCTTGGTAGAGATTTTTGGGTCACTTATGTAAACTATCATATCATCTGCAAATAGTGAAAATTACTTTAATTATTTCTTTTTATTTCTTTTTAAAGATGTCTTAAAAATGCTTATCTGACACCTGGGTACTGGCTACTAACATTGAGTACTTCTTTATAAATTGATCTTACTCTGAGAATTAATGAACCAGAACCTTATTTTATTTTATTTTTAGAGACAGAATGTCCACTATGTAACTCGAAATCCTCCTGCCTTATCCTCCTGTGTGCTGGAATTATGGGTGTGTGTCAGTGTGCCTGGTTCTGAATCTTATTAAGTCAAGTCAAAAAGAAAAAAAATGTTTCTTCTCTCCTTGTTGCAAATCCCTCAATATTTTCAAAAATAACAGGGCACCTAACTTACTAAACATTAGGAAACTGAAAGCACTATTATCATTTTTAATGTGACCACAGAAACATGCACAGTACATAGAGCTTTTCCCAGGTTCAGTGTGGAATGGAATGATGGTAAAGTCAATAGTGTCAATGTCCTAGGTGACATCCATGAGCTCTGGAGCTGGGGAGAGAGCACCTTGAGTCATTAGAGGTATGGAGGGTTGGTTTCTGGTCATCAATTTAAAACTTACAACATTACAAATCAAGACCATCTTGATTCTCCCAGTAGAAGAATCATGAGGTCTATACTAATGGTGCAGCTATAAAACTGTACTTGAGTTTTGAAGGAATGGTGATCATATTTTGTGAAGCATTATCAGGACCTGGTTCTGTGGTACGGCCCAGTGCCTCTAAATTATAAGATTGTAAGATGTGAAGTAATTCAAAATAAGGCAGAAAGCAAGCTCCAAATGGTAAGACAATTTAAGAACTCACTTATCCTCCATTTATCAAGGCTAACAATTTATAACTATCAACACAGAATATCTGATTGTGTCAATATTTTGAGTTGCAGTTAAAAGTCTTCAGAATCATCAGTGGTGCTAATTATGAAAGGTATTCTTAGAGCAACCACAAATTCATCACAGTACAGATGTAAGTCAAAACATACCCTGTTTTGGTGGCACATATCTATAATCTCAGCACCAGGAGGCTCAGCCCAGGGGTTTGTGAGTTCCAGGCCATCCTGAGCTGTATTGTGCCACCCATGTCAAAAAACAATGATGACAAATAAAATCATGGCTTGCTACTGTTTTATAGATGCCTTTTCAAAAGCTAAGAGGTGTTTATTTTATTTTTTTATTCTGGCACAGAAAGCCTGTGCCACACAGATATAAGCAAATTCTTTTGTTAAACGCAGGAAATGTGAACAAAGCATGCTTTCCAGGAGTCATTAAATTCATGACCTTCACTTCTGAAAATATGACTCACTAGTGTTTGGAATAGAATGCTTCACCTTTGGGGAAAGATAAAGGTGGAAAACAAAACAAAACTCTGGGAAATAGCACGGTGCCTTGATTTTAGTGGCCTTCTCACAGGAGCCCTCCCACATAGAAGCATTTAATTCCACCCCCCCCCAGGGGCAACATACTCTGCTGATCTTATCATTAGCTCCAAGCTATTACCCCTGCTAGATGTTTCATCCTGATGTTTTCTTTCTGAATCCCTTCACATGCTTTTCATCTTCAAAAGAATTCCAACAAGCTATCAAGGCATGACCTTCCCTCCTCTGCTGAAACTTGAGCTGAAGATGGGAGGCTAGCTGTGCTTGCCTGGGCTTCCCCTGGGACCCTCTGCATGAGTAAGAACCTGCCAGTCAAGGGGCATCTATCCTATGACTGACCCTTTAAACATCGCTCACATGCTTTGTGTGGTTTTTCTCTCTGAGGGGAAGTTATCCATAACAGGTGTGAAAACTTCAGCCTTAAGCTTTTTTTTTTTTAATGCCAATCATTGTGCCTAGCTCATGTTAGGTATTTTAGTATTTTACTATCAGTAGTTTCATATTTCGGTATTTTATAGTGAGAGTCATTTTAAGAGCAAATTCTTCATCTGTTTCAGTCCAGCCTCCTCACACACAAAGCCACCTGATTCTTGCTAATCCTAAAATATGCAACCAGTCTTTTTAGTTTTAAAAGCACTTCCTATCTTTTGGAAACAATGTAAACAGATTATTCTACTTGACTTTTTATGTTTTGTATCCTTTTCAAATTTTAATTGACTTGAAAAATCACCAGTTGTCAGGGTTTGGGAAGTGGAAGAAGTTTTCCGATTGTCTCCTCTAATTTTGTGGTTGTCTTCTCTTGTGTCAGGTCTGCGGCACATAACTCTTCTGAAGCTTTTGGGCGTTGGAGAAGAGGTTGGAGGCGTCCTGGAACTGTTCCCAATTAACGGTAATGTTTTATTATTTTAAAACATTGTGAATTAGCATTAAGTCTAATTAAATTGTGTTAAGCTATATGCAAGCAGTAGGTATACCTTAAAGAATAGTGTGTGTGCATGGACATGCTTGTGTGTCCGTCACGTACATGGGGCAGAGGCTGGACGAAGGGCTTATCTTGGTTTTGATAAAAAATTTATTCAAACAGTAAAAAGTATCTGTTTTCAAAATCAAAATCATGCTTTTTGTCTATAAGAAGCTTTAAGGTTTTCACAGTATGTCATGTTCTATCATTTAATCTCATGATTGTTTTATGAAGTTGTACCAACTTGATTTCCTTTCAAGAGATTATGAAATGAAGTAAAAGGCTCAAAGAAGCTAAAGAAACTGACTACAGACTGAAGGCTGCAGAAGGCACATCCACTCCTTCCTCTTATTGAAATAAATGCTACTGTGTGAAATAGTAGGCAGAATACCAGAGAAGACCACCCCACTGCCTGCCACACTTTGTTCCCCTCTTTTCCTTCTTTGCACATATACTACTAGTTTAGATCCAGTCATTGGTTCTCAGTTTAACTGGTATTTTTCACCCTAGACAACAAGCTTTCCATTGTCACTTGAAAGGAAAACTGGAATGCAAAGAAGTAAGCTAATTGGAAACAGGCTTAGAAATAAAAACATCATTGTTTGCCAGTAACAGGTTGTAAAGACGTTGCTGTTGCAGAACTAAGGCATGTGTTCTGTATTTTGCAACATTCTCAAAAGAGATGTCACGTGTATTATAGTTTCACACTAACACCCTTGCACAACCTAGTGTAGAACTTGTAGTTGGATGTTCCCAGCAGACAACTGTACTTGAGCTAAAGAGAACAGGTTCATGGGTCTTCTGCTCTCATAGTGATCTCATCTAGCTTTGACATGTCTATGAACTCTTGACTCTTTAGTCCACTAACAACCATTCCAATACTATTCCAGGTAGCTCCACTGTTGAGCGGGAAGATGTACCAGCCCACTTGGTGAAAGACATTCGCAACTATTTCCAAGTGAGCCCAGAGTATTTTTCCATGCTTCTAGTTGGAAAAGATGGGAATGTTAAATCTTGGTATCCGTCTCCTATGTGGTCAATGGTCATCGTGTATGACTTAATTGATTCCATGCAACTTCGGAGACAGGAAATGGCCATTCAGCAGTCACTGGGGATGCGCTGCCCAGAAGATGAATATGCAGGATATGGTTACCATAATTACCACCAAGGCTACCAGGATGGCTACCAGGATGACTACCGTCATCATGAAAGTTACCACCATGGATACCCTTACTGAACAGAAATATGTAACCCTATTCCCATTCAGTTTCCTCTTCATCTGCTAAAGCTGTGTGTGGCCAGCTACACAAGGGAAGTACTCCATACTCTACATTGCCTGCCCTTTTCTTTCAGTGTTCTTCCAAGATTAAAGAAATAGTCAACTTTCCCCTATTCATGAGTGGTTATTGAGACATTTAAAAGAAATCTGGTGCTAAATAATTGTACTGAAAAAATAGGTAGTGTCTCTATTTTATATGCAAATTTCTATAAAGTATTTGTTTATCTCTTCATCATTTTTATACCAGTTTGCAATTGAAAACTAAGTTAAAGAAAATAAATAGCAAGGTGCATATGTTTTCAGAAAACACCTGGATAGAAGCAGAACACAACAGATGGTCTTATTTTCTTTTGAGACAGGGTCTCTCTTTGGTCTAGCTCTGACTTATCTAGAACTCACATGTAGATCAGGCTGGCCTCAGCCTCACAAGATCCACTCGCTTCTGCCCAAATGGTGGGATTAAATGCATGAATCACCATGTCTGGCTTCTTAACACTTGAAATGTCAGCCTAAAAATATTTACAATAGTTCTTTGCCATATTGAATTCTTTTATGAAACATGGTAACACCAGAGTAGTAATACTGGCCATCAACTCTAAACCAATATTTATTATGAAAATGCAATTTCTAAATTCCTGTCTAACTCAGTGACTTTTATGATCTTTTCAGGTTTGGGGGTAAAATACTAAATACAAAGGTTCTGTATTGACTGATTGCCTTTCTTGCCTCTGGTAGCCTTAACCTAGAGGACAAAGGTGCCAGATAGCCATCAGAGTCACCTCTCAAATTTGCTGAAAGGAGTAAAATGAAAGCAGGCTTATTAAGAAAAAGTGAGAAAGATTCCTGAAAGTGGGATGGGTCCCAAGAGGCAGAAAATTGTTTTGGCTTTATGGAATATTGTTAATGGCAGCTCTGAAAATCTACTTTGAGAAATAAATTTTATTATTATTAAAAGGTTGAGCTGTGAGTAGGGGCTTTTTAAAGGTCTTGGGGCAGAAACTAGACACAACCTGGACATGCTGAGGCTGAGCCAATGGGAGCTCACATGCTCTGTTGACTTGGGACATGATCATGTACTATTTGCCCAATCTGGGAGTGTCTTGAACTTCAGCCACCGTTATTCATTCTATTTTAACCTTTGCTTGGTTTGCCAGACATCTGCCTTGGCTGGGTCTACCAGCTGCTAGTCAAACCATACTCATTGTGTTCCCAGGTTTTGCGACTAACTTGTAGTTTACCATGAGCCCTTTCACTGCCTATGGGAGCTAAATCCTCCCACATCTACAAAATGAGCTGTAGTTATTCATAGCTCTTTTGACTTGTTTTTCTCCATGGACTGCCTTCAGAAAGACAAAAGAGGACAAGGGTGGGCTCGGTTCAAGAGATATGCCTCAATCTGAGAAGACCAAGTCAGGAGTGATTGGAAGACTTGACTGATACAAGGAATGATTTGACGTTGCCATTCTTAATCATAGTACCTTGAAGGCTAGACTTTACTTAGTATAAATGATTCAAAGAATGTGTTATTTTCTATATACTCTGCTAGAGTCCGGAACACAAAACTGGAAGACTTTTCTCTTTACACACAAACTCAGACAAGCAGACAACAGTTGCAAAGATCACTAATTGTAACAGGAGGTGTAGCAATGGAAAGAAAGGAGAGGAAGCAGCAGCAAGGGAGAAATGAGGAGAAACTGTGCTCTGTAGCCATCTGAGTGATTACACGGTTTTCCCTTCAAGTTCCTTGTGACCTTAGCAGGTGTCTTCCACTGGCTCCATCATTACCACGGTCAATGGTCAATGGATTTTGGATCATTACAGTTTGGACACAGCTTCCCTGGGGATGTCATATCTTTCTCAGCTTTAAGAAGTTTTTGGGTATTCATGAAAGATGGCGGCACTAGCACTAGTTCATTTATAAACAAACACTTCATTTCTACTGAACTAAACACAAAAGAATAGTGAGTTCATTGAATCATTTCGTCAAAGTTGAATCTAAGGAAGTCTCAATCTTTCTTTTTGAGAAATATGTGCCTGTTCACCATCCATAACTAAGGCAAAAGTCATTGCTTGAAATTATTTTTTTTACTCTGTGGATCTTTAGGCTTTTTGAGAGATCCTCCACCCAGCTCCCAAATGAATCACACACAGAGGCTTATGAATGTCCAACCTTAACTTGGCTTGTTTCTAGTCAGCTTTTCTTAACTTAACCCATCTATCTACCTTTTCCCTCTGGGCTTTTACCTTTCTTACTTCTGTATATCTTACTTTCCTTCTTCCTCCATGGCTGGCTGGGTGGCTGATCCCTGACATCCTCCTCTCCTTGTTCTCTGGCGGTTCCTCCTCCTCCTCCTTTCTCCTTCTATTTATCCTCTCTGCCTGCCAGCCCCACCTATCCTTGCTCCTGCCTTGCTATTGGACGTTCAGATCTTTATTAGAACATAAGGTGATTTAGACAGGCACAGTAACACAGCTTCACAGAGTTAAACAAATGCAGTGTAAACAAAAGTCACACGCCTGAAAATAATATTCCCCAACAATTAACATACTTGTAGTCTACTGTCCATGGCATGAAAAGCCTCTGTGGCTGAGGCCAAAGACAAGAGACAGAGCTACATGGAAGAGAGGGGATATGGAGGCTATGTTTAAAGTTAGAGCATCAAAGTCCTGTATCATCACTGGAACAGTCAAGCTGGTATCTCTGGGAATACCAGAATACTTAGTTTTTTGACTCTTGGCCAGGATAGACAGTGGAATTTACAATGTGTTGTTTCCAGTCCGAAACGACTGGGGTTAGGTGGTTTCCAGTTGGCATAAGAGTGCTGCCTGTTGCCGAGTCCAATGACCTGAGTTTGATTTTCAGAACTTACACTATTGGAGAGAACTGACTCCTACAAGTTGTTCCTGACCTGTCTACCCTGCCACTAAGTAATTGTAATAAAAAATAAAAAGTAAACATGCTACTTAAGATTTTTGCTTTGAGCTTTTTTAAAGTCAAGATACACACATCTTGGTGGTTCAAATTGAAGACAGTAGACGGAGTGTAGTTCTAGAAAGCTTACAGATATAATTTCCCTTGAGTCCTCATAATGTTCCTTGAGTCCTCATAATTCCCCTTGAGTCCCCAATGACTGTATTCTCATTTCCTTGCTGCTCTGTCCTTTGACTTTAAATGCAAGTCTTATATGAGTATGTTCTGTGAAGTCTGGGGAACACTTTCAAATGCATGAACTTGGAGGACTTGGAGTAGGCTCATTGGCTATGAACTTGCCCAGGATGCTGTGGGTTTCTTTAACCCCTAGTACTATAAACAAACAAAAACAGTATATAAATTGGGAAATCTTTGCATGGTAGAATATTTTTACATATAAAACATACTTTGTATATGATATTAAAAGTGCATACATAATAACTACTAAAAGCTATAAAATATAAGTCTAGAAGGAATGAAAACTCTAGTAGTCATCTTTACAGCTGTGAATAGAAATGAGCTGTTCAGAGGCATTTCATTTCACCTGACTTTTTATTGAAGCAGGGGGTTTACTCTGAATCAGGTGAACAAAGTAAAACCCAGCTGCCACCTCTCATATAGTAGATTATATTACTCCTATCTTTGTGGAACTGGCCCTTAAAGGCAATACAGCCAGTACAGAGGAAAACTACACAACCACTGTTCCTTCAATGCAAAGTTGTACAGAACTTTCCTAGAGAGTTTCTCTTTCTCCTTGAGGCAGCTCCAAGACCATCAGCCAGTATTCATGCAAAGAGGGACAAAGTGAGGGATAGTCTCCCTGCATGACTTTATAACAGGCTCAATTGGAATGTGAAGCTCTGTATACAGATGAGTACACAGAACACATAAGGTAACTGTTAAAAAATGCATCTAAGCAGCAGGGTAAAATACCCTACCTTCAAGGAAAAGGCATGTTTATTTATATACACACAAACTCATATGTTTGTATATTTTCGTTGTAGAAGAAAGCCTTTACCTTTATTCCTTATTTTCATGTTTTAATTAACATAAACAAATTCATTATGTATTTTTAAACACAATTGCTAATTTTCCTCCCTACTCTTCCCCATCCCCCATGGCCTCCCCTTTCACTCTTCCACCTCCCCATCGCATCGCTTCCTTCCTTTCCTATTTCATGTATACTGTATTGCCTTACCATGTTTCCTCCATAGCTCATTTCTCCCCCATTTCTAGCTTCATATACTATACTCATAATCACTCCCTCACAATACAGCTTTAGATGATACCTTCTAGTTTGCTCCACTCTCCTGTATATCTCATTTAATTTTTCTTTATAGTTGAATAAAATCCCATTGTATGTTATTTGCTTGCCACTGTGAACAATGCAGCAATAAGCATGAGCATTTAGGTATCTCTGTAATCAGGTAAGAGTCCTTCATTATAAACCAAATTGATTCTATGGTAGTTTATTTTAAAAAATTGAAAAGCCTTTGTGTTTGTTTTCATAGTGGTTATAACTAGGCCATGTGGATGGCACAGAGGTCTTGGTACTCACAGAAAAGCTCTACGGGAACCTGGAATGTTAAGCACACAGGGTTGTTCCTTTGAAGGAAGGAATGTATAATCCAGTGGTTCTCAACCTGTGGGTTGTGACTCTTTTGGTAGGGTCACATATTAGATATTTACATTAAGATTCATAACAGCAGAAAAATTAATTATTAAGTATCAATGAAATAATTTTATGGTTGGGAGTCACCACAACATGAGGAACTGTATAAAAGGGTCACAGCATTACGGAGGTTGAGATCCACTGTTATAACTTGTTATCCACTCAGAAGGCTGGGAGCATACATATTTAATTGCCTGATGTCCTTTGTGTACCGGACTTTTCCAGCATGGGATACTCCCCTAGACCTTTATTGTAAACTTGTTTTTCTCAGTCAATTATAGAAACTATCTGTGTGGACTTTGCAAACAGTTTCAATATAGTCACATTCGATCTGTATTTAGCTTACTGTGTTCTTCAGAGATTTTTGAATGCTTTGTTTTACATATAGGATTGAGTTAATTATCACCAGAATAAGCTTTTACCAAATAGTGCTGTGCTTAAATATACCTAAAATAAACTACTCAGGGGCA